TTCTGTTTCCAACACTGGATACATTTGCCCCCTTCTCAAGAAACCATTTTACTCCGTGTAATTTGCCAGTCGAAGCCGCCAGCATTAGTGGCGTGTAACCCTCGGTTGTTTTGGACTCAATGTCCGGCAAGTAAGTATGGATAAGATCAATGACATCAGTGTCTCCACCCACTGCAGCGAGATGTAACATATTCCTTCCTATATTATCAACACAGGTTACATTTGCCCCCTTCTCAAGAAACCATTTCACTGCGTGTAATTTGCCAGTCAAAGCCGCCACTATTAGTGGTGTGTAACCCTCAGCTGTTTTGGACTTAATGTCTGGAATATGAGTATGGATAAGATCAATGACATCAGTGTCTCCACCGTTTGCGGCGAAATGTAACATGTTCCTTCTTTCTGTAGCAACACAGGTTACATTTGCCCCATTCTCAAGAAACCATTTCACTGCTTGTAATTTGCCAGTCGAGGCCGCCAGCATTAGTGGCGTGCAACCCTCGGCTGTTTTGGACTCAATGTCTGGCAAGTAAGTATGGATAAGATCAATGACATCAGTGTCTCCACCCTCTGCGGCGAAATGTAACATATTCCTTCTTTCGTTAGCAACACAGGTTACATTTGCCCCCTTCTCAAGAAACCATTTCACTGCCTGCAATTTGCCAGTCAAAGCCGCCAGCATTAGTGGCGTGTAACCCTCCGCTGTTTTGGACTCAATGTCTGGAAAATGAGTATGGATAAGATCAATGACATCAGTGTCTCCACCCTCTGCAGCAAAATGTAACATATTCCTTCTTTCTTTAGCAACACAGGTTACATTTGCTCCCTTCTCAAGAAACCATTTCACTGCTTGCAATTTGCCATTCAAAGCCGCCACCATTAGTGGCGTGTAACCCTCGGATGTTCTAGACTTAATGTCTGGCAAGTGAGTATGGATAAGATCAATGACATCAGTGTTTCCACCCTGTGCAGCGAAATATAACATATTCCTTCTTTTGTTATCAACACAGGTTACATTTGCCCCCTTCTCAAGAAACCATTTTACTGCTTGCAATTTGCCAGTGAAGGCTGCCACCATTAGTGGCGTGTAACCCTCGGCTGTTTTGGACTCAATGTC